GATCGGCCGCTATGACGTCATTCCGGACGTAGCGACCTGCTCCGACGATCGTCCTTAATGTCAGATTCTGCTGGGCCTGCAGTCGCCGCCTCAGAGGGTCGCTCAGAAGTGCGTACCAGGCCGGTGCAGCATACGTGATGATGGTCCGGATATACATCTTGTATATCCGGAGCTTGGTGTTTATAGGCAGTTTGGATGCAAGTACCGGCAAGAGCGTCGCCCGCGCACATCGGGCCCGGCGGACGACGAAGTCGACGTGCGCGGTCATGCGCAGCGTCCTGTCGATCTTGCACCCAAGATAAGTTACAGCCTTCTGGTACGCAATCTCCTGGCCGTTGAGGGTCAGCGGAAGTGGTAAATTCCTGAGACGGCGAGTGAGCAGAGCGGTCGTCTTACCAACGTTGACGACCATCCTCCACTCATCCAGCCATGGTGGCAGCAGGTCCAGCAGACGCTGCATCTTGGCAGTGGCTATGTGGGCTCTTCTGGACGAGGTGAAATAGGCGCTATCGTCCGCGTATAGCGCCAGCTCGACGTCGTCCTCCCACTCTTGAAGCCTGCCTGCCAGTGTAGGTATGTCGTTAGTATAAGCCGCGTACAGGACTGGTGACAAACAGCTGCCCTGTGGAACGCCGGCTCTGATGGTTTTAGTTGCGGACTCGGCGTCCTCTACGCAGACGTAGAACTTCCTGTCTTCCAGGAAAGACGCCATTAACCGCAACATAGTAAGAGGGACACTGGTCTGTTCTTTCAGCTTGTATAGAAGTCCTGCGTGCCACACCCGGTCGAACGCCTTCTCGATATCGAGAAAGACGCCCAACGATATGCGGCCACGATTGTACTCTGCCGCAAGCAGGTGCAGCACTCTGGTCAATTGTGTGACTGTAGAGTGACCCCTCCTGAATCCGTGCTGCTCCGCCCGAAGTTGGATGCACGGACGGAGACGTCTTAGCAGCAATCTTTCGAACAGTTTAGCTATGTGTGGTAATAGCGTGATCGGCCTGTAGCTGGCAGCTCTACGCCTGTCCTTCCCGGGTTTCGGCAAGACGATGATTTTGCCTGTTTTCCATACCTCCGGGAAGTGGGATGTCCGCAATATCCCATTGTAGAGTCGACCAAGCTCTACTATGACTTTATTGGGCAGCTGTCGGAGTGCAGCGTTGGTAATCCCGTCGTGCCCCGGCGCCTTCCTCGGTTGCAGGCGGGTTAATGTCCTCCGCAGTTCAGCGGGGGGAAATGAACCACTCTCCTGCAAGAGGCGGCGCGGGCGACGACAGGAACTCCTGTACGCGACTTTCCTTCCGGGCATGAAGCTCCATGAACTCCGCACTTGCTGGGTTCGGCATAAATTGCTCCTCGAAGTGCTCGACTAGGATATCCGCTCTGCCCTTGGCATCGTAGCTGCGTTTGCCTGCGTTGTTGATCAGCGGGCAAACGGGAGGTTTGGTTCTAGTTAACTGCCGGTTCAGTTTATAGAGCGACGCATCTTGCTCCTCTGCCTTCCTGATGCGCCGATCCCAAGCGTCGCCTCTGAAGGCCTGGACTGCAACCGACAGTTCCTCCGAGATGGTGTTGAGCTGGGTCTTTAATCTAGGGCAGCGAGTACGCGCCCAGAGCTTTCTCAACGCTCTCTTGCGCCTGATCTGCACGCATATGTTAAGCGGCAGATCATCTCGCCTAGCTGTGATCGGGACGATCGTAGAGGCCGCGTGAAGGGCCTCCTTGATGTTATTAGTGATTCTGGTTGCAGCGGCCTCTACGTCGTCCGCTGTGCTTATCGGCTGGTGTGCTGGAGGTCTCTGCTGCAGGTGTTGGCAGTAGAGCCTCCAGTCGACACGTGTCTTAAACGCTCTGGGCGGCGTAGTCACCGCCTTCAGACCAAGGGTTATCAGTAACGGGAGGTGCTGTGAAGGTAGGTCGTACAGCACTTCTACCACTATCGGATAGTTGACGTTCCTAGTGAGCACGATGTCTAATACATCCGGATGCCTCCTTGGGTCAGTAGGAACGTGAGTTGGTTCCTCGGGACCTAGAACGTCGTACTGGTTCTTTTCAGCGTCTTCATATAGTTCACGACCCGGCGGGGTGATCACTCTGGACCCCCACGCCGGGTGTTTGGCGTTCAGGTCCCCGGCGATGATTACAGGTGCATCGCCTTCCATCACTGTCCGGATGTCTGAGGAGCAGAATGGAGTCCCTGGCGGGCGGTATGCTGCATATATCCTTAGTTCCTCGCCCGCCGCCTCCATTCTTATACCGATTGAGCGCATTGTCTGGTAGGATGGTAGTTCCAGCTCTTGATGGACGATGTCCCTCCTCACTAGAACCGCCGTCCCTCTATAGGCGGCCCCTTGAGAAGTGACCTCGTCCCTTCTGTAGATGTGGTAATTTGGCAGCTTTATGCGCGTTTTTGGATTTAATATTGTTTCGCCCAGCAGTATAATATGTATATCCTGTTGCTGGGCGACTGTGCGGAGTTCATGCAGCTTCTGCTGTATTCCGTCCGGGTTCCAATAGACGCAGATTACTCTCCTCCATAGTGCCGGGCTAGGAGGTTTGCCAGCGCCTTCATTATCGCTGTCACTGGATCTGTCCCGGCTCTTATGTCAGCCAGGACTTGCGTGCCGACCTCGATGGCAATACCAACCAGACGTTGGATTGCATCTGCTGTTTCGAGGCCGGTGGTGGGTGTTCTCCTATAAGAAGGCGTTGGCAATTGTCTCGGGGGTTGGGGCTCCTGGATTTGCTCTCTTTGCTTGTGGGTAGAGCGCGCTCTACCAGTAGAGCGGGCTCTATGTTCGGATAGAGCCCTTTCTGGATTCTACCCACGCTGGTTGTCTCCCTCGTAATCTGCGCCTTAGAGGCTACTGGTATGGTTGGTGTCGGGGTAGAGGTGACAGCCTGAGGAGGCTGCGACTTCTTCCTACTTCTCTCCCGCCTCCTCTTCTTGGAGGGTTGCCGTTCAGTGGCAGGATTGGCGGGAGGCTGTAGAGTCGCCCCGGTGGTTGCCCTGGTCATTGTGGGTTCCACCGTTTCCTGGGTTGTTACGGGTGGGGGGGGGCTGATTGCCTGCCCTTCCCGGTGATGGTGGTCCACCCGTCCTGTTGAATTGTAACAGCTTTCGGGCGACTCTGAGGGGCCTTTTTGGGTGCCTCCGGGAGTAGTCCCGGCAAGGTTATCCCCTGCCTCCTCGCAGTCCTCCTCAGGACTGGACAGCGGCGGTCATTTGCCGTGTGGTTTTTACCACAATTGGCGCATTTCGGTTCTTCTTCTCTACCCCGAGGGCAAAGGCTTGCTATGTGCTCCCCGGCACAGCGCACGCATCTCACTGGCCTGAAGCAGTTGGCAGAGGCGTGCCCGAAGGCCTGGCATCGGTGGCATTGGGCTGGTCCTGCCTTTCTTTGCCAGGCCTCGATGACAACCCCTCTCATGTAGAGGAGCTCGTCGATGTTATATAGTTCCTGGAGCTGCTCCAGGCTCAGGTGGTCCAGTTGGGCAAAGTAGACGCAGCCAGGTCTGCTTCTACGCGGTGGTATTGCCTTCACGTATTTTATGGGGAAGCCTTTTGCCCTTATGGCCTCCTCTATTGCTTGGGTATCCGTGCCCATTGGTAGACCCCGGATGCCCACTTTAGTGGGCTTATCCTCCTCCGGGGTGTAACAATACCACGACAGTGATGGTGTTTTCTTTGTCAGCTCAACCATATACCGCTGTACTGTGCGGAATTCATTTGCACTTTGCGGTGTAAATCTTACGCCTTTCCCAAACTGACGGGCATTTATGGGGTGGCCCAACATATTGTTGAGCTCCTTGAAATGCCTCGTCCAGTCTGGTAGGCATTCAGCCACTATAGGTGGGTAACGGCCCTTCTCCTGGTCGGCTGGCTTCACTGTAGGCGCTGCCGCCGGTGGTGGTCGTGGTACTGCTGGTGCAGCTACCATATGGGCATAACTGGTAGATGGCCGTTGGGTCCTGTGGGAGCCCGGACGGATTTGTTGTTGCCACCGGCGATGATCGGCCGGCGGATGCAGCGAGGGTGGCATATGTGGTTGACCCCCAACTGTAGGATTCTTCACCCCCCTGCTCATACTGGGCCGAATCATGGCTTCGCCGATCCGGTGATATGGGGCGGGGGGGGGGGAGTTGTGGGGGAGAAGGTGCCGTGGGTGGCGATCTCAGCACCTTCTTTGTGGTCACTTTATGGTACTCTTCGTCTTCCTCTGATGAAGCTGGTGCTTCATCGGAAGACAGTTGGGAGCCAACCCGTTGCCTCTTCTCATATAAAGAGGCTTCCGTTTCCGGAGGAGTATGACGTCTCGCCGTTTTCTTTGCCCGCTGCTGCTGGGGCGACGGTTCCTGCCTAACCGTGTGCTCAGACACGGCCAGCGTGAGCGCGACGCCCGGTGCGGGCTCTTTCCGTGGCGAGACGGGTTTGCGTTGGGGGATCTGTGAAAAGGAGGACACAACCCTCGTGCGTTCCGGGTTCGACAGATCCCTCACAACCGGTGGTCGATCCAACACACCTTTTCGGTCCGGTGGTTTTCTAGATGGGGGGGAGGTTCCCCCTTTTTCTTATCGGACATAGGTAATCAACTAACGGCCCTGTCTAAATAAGATATAAGAGATGGTGACTTTCCACACTTGGGGCACTGCCTACTCCTTTTATAACAAAAAGGATTGGGGGAAGTGCAACGGTGGCACTTTAGTACGCGACTAGGCACAGGATGCACGAAGCGCATAAAGTGCCAAGAATCACCTAGGGGCCGGTGACCTCGACGCCTCACGGAATCACGGGACTCAACGATCGGCGGAGTATGTCGTACCGGCGGTCATTTACAGCCACTGCTAACTGCAAACAACGCACACCTAGGAGATCCTTTATGTTTAGTTTACCTTTAACTACTGGTTTCGGAAAGAACTATTCCATAGTGAGGGTCACGCACATACCAACCGAGCGGAGCGATAAGCGGAGCGGGAAATTTATTTACACATACAACAATATGAGTATCCAACGTTCACCTATAACCAAATCTAGTGACAAAATGAATATTATTAGTGGGAATAGTAGTTCCCAGCCTGAAATGTCAATCATTGCAGCAACTGAGCACGAATATAAAAATGTGTCACAAAGCAAAAGAAAAGTGCCTGAGGATGATTTCTCGGTCCAATTCAATGAATTTAAAAAGGAAATTATAGGAGTGTTAAAGGAGTTTGGTAAATCCCAGACAGAAACATCAATTCTATAAAAACAGATATCAAATCTATCAATGAACAACTTATTGATATGAAAACTAAAATGGACTTGCTGCTCATAGAACATAATACCTTCAAGTGTGAAATACAAAAACTAACAAATACTGTCACTTATAACGAAGAAAAAATAAAATGTATTGAAAATGATGTACAGGCTCTTCAGAGCACCGTACATGCCCCTTACCATCAGGACGTCCTAAACCGATAGCGAATAGTTATGCAGATATAATGACCGAAGTTCAAGAGCGTTTAGAGCGCGCCAAGAATATAATAATCGCTGGCATTTTCGAACCACATTCAGAAAATATGGAAGAAAAGAGGGAAAAAGAAAGATTTGAAGTGATGAAAGTACTATCAGGCATCTATGCACTTACCCCCCAACCAGAAAGAATAATGCGCCTAGGCAAGTATGATGGAAAGAAAACGCGCCCACTAAAAGTTTGCTTTTTAACTCCAGATATAGCAAAAACCTTATTGAAAATAAATTTAACTACAAAGTAAGTATTATAAAAATCTTATCCGATCAGACACCTAACCAAAAACAAGAAATGGCAAACCTTCGAGAAGAGTTACGTCAGCGCAAAGAAAAAGATGAAAACGACTTAATTATAAAGTATATAAAAGGAACACCCAAAATAATAAAACAGGAAACAAAAAACGGGACACCAGAGAAAATACAATAACTAAAAATAAGGATAAATTTATAATTCATAAATATCATTATAATTATGCAGATTTATCTATTACAAACAAAACACTAAAATTTTTCTACGCCAATATTCGCAGTTTAGTTAAGCCAGGCAAACTAGATGAAATACGTTATTATGTAATCACTCGAAACGAAGATTCATGTTTTAATTATTACGGAAACTTGGATAAAAAACGAAGACGAAGCGCAGAGATTAAAACTACCAAACTATGTTCACTACTATAACTACAGAAAACATTCTATAGCTGGTGGAGTCTTTCACAGATTGTAAGAAATATCCTTTAAAAATGTGGCAACTAATTAATAGACTGTCAAATAATAAATCAGATCTGGCAGACCTAAGGTATTTAAAAATAAATACCCCCTATGGTCAAATATCAAATATAAAATAAATTTGTGAGTATTTTAACAGATTTTTCGTCACTATAGGCCCTGAACTTGCAAATAAAATACCATAAAAATATCATAAAAACTTTACACAAACACTGTCATACAACAAACCTAAAACAACAACACTGATTTATCAAAATTAAACACAACGACCGCAGATGAGGTACTGGAAATAATAAAAGACTTAGATTCTAACGCTAGTTCCGGCTTAGATGGCATGAACACAAAATCCTTAAAGTGTATTAAAGACAATATGGTAGAAAACCTCGCTATTTGTATTGATAAATGTTTAAGTGATAGCTATTTTCCAAATAGCCTAAAAACTGCAAAAGTTAGTCCTATTTTTAAAGCCGGAAGCAAACAAGACCCAAACAATTACCGACCAATATCGGTATTTCCAGTAATGTCGAAATTATTCGAAAAATACTACATAAACGACTATATGACTACCTGACTTCTATTGATTACCTCTATAAAAAGCAATACGGCTTCCGCCCAAAGTCTAACACTGTGTCTGCAACTGTTGATTTAGTAACCAACATAAGACTTAATATTGATCAGAAAAAAATTACATTAGGTATTTTTATTGACCTAAAAAAGGCTTTTGACACAGTCAGCCATGACATCCTATTATTAAAACTAAAAGACATAGGTATCACAGGAAAGGCATTTGACATTTTTAAATCGTATCTTTCTGATAGATTTCAAGTTGTCAATATTAATAATCTGCAAAGCAGCCACCAACCGGTTATTTGTGGCATTCCACAGGGATTAATATTGGGACCCCTTTTGTTCCTTATTTATGTAAACAATATATATGAAATTGGACTAAAGAGAGATATCACTTTATATGCCGACGAGACCAGCCTCTTCTACTTTGGTCACTCGTTAGAATCAGTACTAAGTGAAGCCCAGCAAGACTTATACATATTACACACCTGGCTACAGTCAAACTTACTAACAATTAATGCCTCAAAAACAAAATACGTAATCTTCAGTGCAAAAATAAAAAAAATTGAAAGTCACAATCCTCTTACTATTGATGGTGAAATATTAACCAAAGTTAACAACGAGAAATATTTAGGCCTGTTCTTGACGGTTGACTTACCTGGAAACAACATATTGAGAAGATCCATTGTAAAATTTACTTATTAACAGGAGCTTTAAAAACTATAGTTCGATGTCTCCCGAGACATGTCAAATATACCATAAATAACTCTTTAGTTAAGCCTCATTTAGATTATTTGATTGAGGTATGGGGCTCAGCTACTAAATCAACGTTGCAAAAACTACAAGTTACACAAAATAAAATCATAAAAATATTATTCCAATATAAATACTTAACACCTACCACTCAAATATATAAAGAAACCAAATTACTTAATCTAGCCCAAACGTACAAATATAAAATATGCTATAATAATAATGCTATGCTAAGGTACTAATTGAAAGAGTTATGAAAGAAACTGATGAAAAAATTTGGGATGTGCAATCGGGATTCAGAAAGGGAATGGGGTGTACAGATCAAGTCTTTTCCATGCGCATGATCGCGGAGAAGTTTTTGGCGAAAAACCAAAAAAGTTTTTTATGCGTTCATGGACTTGGAAAAAGGCTTACGACAGAGTGGACAGGGATGTGTTATGGCAAACGCTGAACGCATTTAGGTTGAGCGCTGGTTTGATACAGGCATTAAAGTCTCTGTATAGGGACTCGAGTGCTTGTGTTAGAATCAACGGGGTCTACTCGGACTGGTTTGGCATCCATAAAGGTGTCAGACAGGGCTATGTAGCTTCCCCGTGGCTGTTCAACCTATTTATGGACAGCCGTTTGGAAAATTTGAAAGTTGAAGAATGCGGGTTAAGAATGGATGAGTTAACCATCAAATGCCTTTTGTACGCCGATGATCAAAAAAGTCATGTAGAAAGAATGAATGCGGAAAGACTGACAAAGCAAATATATGTTGCAGAAGTGAATGGAAGAGTCGGAAAGGGACGTCCTAGGCGGAAGTTTGTCGACCAAATTGGCGATATACTAAAAATGGGCCAAATTAAGAATACCCTTAACCGACGAGCATGTATGCGTAGGTTTATGGATGTGGAAGAGGCGAGAAAGGTATGTCAGGATCGTGCTAAATGGAAGTCTGTAGTCTCTGCCTACCCCTCTGGGTGACAGGCGTGAGTGTTTATGTTTTTTATAAAATATGCATTTTTATTAGGAAAATTCTTACTAATGCCACTCACTCTCAAATAACATTTACAAAAAAAGATAGATTATCATAAACGTATGACAAGGCAGGCTAATAACCTATGTTTGAGATTATAAGAACAAACTATGGAAAAAGGAGTGTTCTTTATGAGGGAGCTCAACACTACAACAAATTACCTAAAAACATTAAAGAAACAAAATCCCTGTCCACTTTAAAGAAATTGCTAAAAAGCCACATTTTAAAGGATTTTTCATAATAATAATCACAAATCTCTAATCTACATAATATATGAAGTACACATGCAACCTTAATAATAATATCTACAATAAAATAGTTGTATAGAGATAATACAATATAATTACTTATACACAGTATGATTATAGATATGAGACAAGATAATTTATACATATATTTGTGTATATATCTATATGTGTGTTTATATGAGTATGTACGTATGTGGGTATGTATGTATATATACGTTGCATTATGCGTATGCGCAACACTACTTATATTATAACAAACAAATTAATACCTAAATATATAATATACTAAATAAAGAAACACTACCTAATTATAGTATCGTATTACATATAGTAATGGTTTTAAAAGATGAACACAAACAATAACAGCTAACACTATAAATTAATTTTGAACACAATAAAATAGTTAATGTATCATAGGCCTTAACAAATAACCCGCCACATTCATTCAATTTTGATCTAAGTAACGATGGTCTGCTTAGCTTTGGTACGAATACTTTGCAAATACCCTATTTATTTATGTGTAATATTTACTAAACAAATTATTAAGCACTCAATTAGAAAATAAGTTTTAGCGACCTATTATAATACTAGCTCACTACGCCAATGTTTTTTTTAATTTATAATATGTATTTTCTCTGTAAGTGATTTGTAAATCTTTTGAGAATATAAATGTCTTAAACGGTAATAATGTCTCTCCACACAGCATAGAAATATATGGAGTACCGAGTTTGATGTATTTATGCTTCGGCTTTTGCGGGAGTCTCTTCGTTATGAGTTACATGTGACTGGAAATTCACGTAACTAGCACTGTGACATGGAACTATCTAATCATTTCGGGGTTTTTATTTATAAAAGTAGGTTTTACCATCAGTCAAGTGTAATGTCCCTCTGCAAGATGCAGGAGTGTACAAGCTTGATTGTGAATGTGGTCTCTTCTACATAGGACAAACTAAAAGATCAATTAAAACCCGCGTTATAGAACATATAGCTGATGTGAAGAATCGACGCTCCGGGAAGTCTGCAGTCTGTGAACACGTACAGGATCGCCCCCGTCACTACATCAGATTTGATAGACCACAAATCCTCGCTAAAGAATACCGATTCCTTCCAAGGATGATTCGCGAGGCTATTGAAATCAAAAAACATCCTAATTTCAATAGAGAAGATGGCTGGGTGCTACCATCTGCTTGAGATCCTATAATAAATAAAATTAAATCCCAACCTAAGCATACAACTGCAAGACTTCAAGATACCATAAGTTCATACTGTGTAGATCGGAACAAAAGTTAAATTTTAATCGATGGTAACCGCGGTTAACTATGACATCTGGAAGTTGAACATCTCAGTCCCGCCCGTGACCATGAGTGCTGTAAAGCGTTCGAAACGTCGGGTATTTAAAAATTTAAATATACTCGATAAATTCCGTAAAAACTAGTATTATTTCAATGTGTAGTGTTCGCGTAAATATAAGAAATCATTAAATTCAATTTTTTTTAAGTTGATTAAAATAAGTACAAAATGGATGTGGCTATATTCTTTACTGCATCACAATTTAAGATCGACGATAATGATGTCTAACTATTTTGAAATACCTTGAAACCTTCGTGATGCTTTTCGTTCTATCTTAATTCGCAGAAGCTACAACGCCTCTGAAGCTATCTTCGTTTGAAGTCGGCTCCATGGGCTACAGTAACCACTAACCATCATATAGACTGTTCACACTTTAAAGCTTTAAAAAAAACTAATCTCTTTGATCCTGACCACCAGGAAGATTTGCTATTATTGGCAAACATTTCAAAATCTTTTACATCTGATTGTTTAATTACACTATGGCAATCCATAACTTTACCTTGACTTAACTTAGTAATACACTTACGTTTTGACAGTAAAATAGATACTGTACAGTAAGATAATATAAATATAATAAGATAGA